ATCATCCTATTCAACTGAAGTATATCGGGGGAGGATGTTACAGGTGTTCCTGATCTTTTTATTGAGTTGCATTCCCTTATCCACTAAGAGATCAATAGGCTATGACAGCTTCTTCACAGCCATTTAGTATTCTCAGTGAAGCAGTGACTCTTCCATGAAAGCCCTGAACATTAGGAATGCAGGAAATATATTAAGTGACACGGAGTATATTGTACAATGAGGTCCTTTAAAATACTCGTTAAAGAAACCAAACTTCAATAAATACTTGAAATATAGTCTTCATAATATGTACAATGAAAAACATGAAAAATTTCTTCCATTTTTTCTTTCCAAAGAAGTAATATCACTGTAACTACAGTGGAACATAACTACACTGAAAATAAGTGCAATCTATCAAATTCAAAATATTACATATTCAATATATAATGCATGTAAATTCTATACATGATAAATATATTTAGGACGGAGGGAGTATTAGATATACTTCATCCATCCCGGTTTAATTTGGACACTATCTTTTATGGTATATCCCCCCCAAAAACATAACACATTTATTTTTCTAAAAGAGTAAATAATATGTGCTCCAAGGTAGTATTATATTACTAAGCAAGAAAGATTACATACAGTAGTCCCACCGAAGAGGCTCTGCGAGTAGTGCAAACAACCTATAACAAAACCATGATGTTCATATTTACTCGTCGAGATTAGATTAAAAATAAAAGAAGAAAAGCTACTGTAAAAAACAAAGTAAATATAAGCATATACTGTTGTTGGAAGTCCATGTTAACATTGAAACGAAGTGTCTTCAGTTTTCTTCTGTTATTAGCTCCAGTGGCCTCTTTGAGCCTTTGTATCTCATCTACTTCTCAGAGTGATTCTTATTTATGTTTTTGTTCTAGACCTCAGAACGGCTATTACCATAAACAACATTTTAAAATAAGAACAAAATTGAAAAAAAATTAAGAAGAAAAAAATTCAACTCAAGAAGATAAAGACACAAAACTGACCATGTATATCTAAAGCATACCATTCTAATGAAAGAATGTTCTCCAGGTTCACTTACTCCAAGAATTTCTTCATTTGCCAAGACAGTTCCAAGGCAGGACACTAATTTATAGGATCTGCAACTTAATTAAAAGGCATGGACTGGTATATTGTGTTAAAAATTTTAACACACAAACACACACACACACATATATATTATTCTAAAAGTACTCAATAATCCATACCTGGTATGCTAGCCCTTATATCAATAGTTGAATAAAAATCCACTGCGCATAAATAACACTTAGGTCCAGTTGTTAAAATTTTAGCCTCTGCGTCTTCCGATCGTATCCGGCCGCGCCCTTTGGTTCCCGAGGAGTGCTGGACAAATTCCCGGTGGTCCAAACACACACACTTTCTCTTGAGGTTTGGTCCTTATGTACATTCTAAAGTTGAAATTTTATGTGCTTAGGACGATGAAATTGCATATATTTTTTATCTGACATGCTGAATTGCTTAAAAATGAGGGCATTTCTGTTTGGGAGTTGGGAGGGATGAACATTTGCCATTTGTAAAAATGGAAAGAGTTATATTATACTCTGACATGCTTAATTTCTTAAAATGAGGGCATTTTTGTTTGGGAGTTGGGTTTATTTACCAGATAAAGCTAAGCCTTGCACAACCATCCCCTCAAGAGCCCCCACACACACACAAAAGAAAGACCTTCAGCCAAACATAACTTAAGGTTGCATTAACTTACCTGTGAATCAACCCCAGGATAAGTGATTGTAGGAGTAGCACCGGTGATGAAGGAATCTTTGAGATAGTTTACTCACTTTATGAAATATCAAGCAACCAACTCCCGAATGTGTGTGAAGTGTTAATTCTAGGGAAAAATTCACATGAATACTCAAAGAAATTTGTGAGTTTACATTAATACTCCGAAATTCAATAATGTACACCACTACTCCCAGAAATTATTCAATTTCACATCAATACTCCAGGATGCCAACTAAGTTGAATATATAGTATTTTAAATGATGACTGGATAATTATTAAGTATGAGTTAATAATTAATTACAAAAATAAAAAACTTTGAATGCGCTATAATTAGCCCCTCCATGTTGATTTAAAATAAAAACGTGTTAAAACTGAAAAATAAAGTGTTTATTTTTAATCGTATAAATGATGAATAAAGTTTTAGTCAAAATTAGAGAATTTTAAACCTGATATAGCGCTGAATTCATATTTTAAATATCTTTCCAACGAATGCCAATTTTATTGAGCTTATAATATCAAATTAATGATTTTTTTAGCTACCACTGTATAAACACCTACAAGAAAAACGCAATTGTTAGACCAAATTTTAACAATTTAGGGACATCACGGAGTTCAATCATCATTAAAAAAGTAGTGTACCTCATAAACAGAGTTTTCAATATGGTCACCCCGAAGAACCTCGCCAAGAATTTCTGCACTGTCCACAATGCGATCTGGCTTACAGTAAGGAAGGGAATAATATGAATAAGGAAGTTGAGTTCTAGTAGAAGCCAGTCTGTTGACTTTCACCTTCAGAGGGTCACCCTGCCAAATGAGTGAATGACAGATAGTCAGACAGAGTTAACACTACTACTCAATATAATTGCAGGTATTTACAAAGGCGTGACTTAAATATAACAATACTGTGAAATACAGTTTTTAAGCTGCTCTCTGAGAAACACAAACTTTCATCAACACGGATGCATTCAAGCAGAAACATAACTCAGAGAGGCATTATACTTGTTACCAACCAAGGCAAGAGCATTAGGTCTGAATATAATCTGATCAGTATTAGTCTTCTTGTTTTAAGTTACAAACCTACAGCAAACAATTTGATCTGAGCCTGAACAGCTAAATTTGATTTCAACATACAAATCAATAAGTAGAACATGTAATATTGATTTTTTCTATTTTAACGCTCTTCATCTTCTTCGTTGGCTCATCCTCATCTACATTACAATGCTCCATCTCTTGTATTCTTTTGTTGGGTGTACAAATGAGAGTTATCATCTACACTTTGTTCATACCAACTATTCTGAGATTCTAGACTTCAATCAAATTTTGCAAGGCAGAGAAAAAAATACAACTTTCATTAAGGATAAAAATGTTGTAGCCAATATCCGAGTTTGATCGTAGAACAACAACAACAACAACAACAACAACAATGATGCATGTTTAAATGCTAAAAAGGGTTCTATTGAAAATACATATAGTGGGGGATGCAAGATAGGAACAATTTAAAAAGATGAAAGCTATCATAGTATAAATTAGTTACGTTTGGAACCCAAAGTAATGTTTGGTGCATTAATTTTTTATGTGTTCATCCATTTATCTT